TTGTTCAATATTTTATTTTTAACAATAAATGCAGGATTTTGATATAGCTTGGTATGAAAATTTTAGAAAAAAAACAATACAGCAGTGTCACATGGGGTAAAAAAACTCTGCAACAATCAGTTAAAATAAAAAGCTGAGGAGGAAGTTATGCTGAACAGACAAATTGGGACTGAGGTACTCACTACCTGCAAGAAAATATAAAATCTTAGTACTTCAGTGTCAAACTGATTCTGGTTGAGAAAGGTTGGGTGGAGAGTTTAATTCCAGCAGAAGGAGAAAAGGATGGTAGATCTATAGATCTGTGAGTTGTATATAGACAGAAGCTGCAACAATGCTAGAAAGCATGACTGGTGAGGGGTAAACTGTACAGGACAAAATAAAGGGTTTGTTATGGATCCCAGGCAGGGGCAGAGGGGATGCTAAAAAAAAATTGACAAGTGAGGATTAGGAATAAATAGGTGGGCTTTTTGTCATATTCAGTGCCTAAGGACAAGCTAATTCTATGCCAGTTCCGATCTGTTTTCTTAAAACAGCCCCACAGCACTTTAAATCACCAGATCTGTTTTGGACAGCACTGAAGATGAAAAGTACATGGAAAACTAATACTAGAGTGCAATATTTCTATCTGCAGACAGTTTTTGCAGGTGGCAGCAGTCCTTGGCAATGAAAAGAGAAATGATACTGAAATGCTGGGCATGCAGGAACCATAAGCAATTCAACAGGAAGGCAGGGTCTTGCAGAGAGGTGTCTGCACAAAAATGACAGTAAAGCCCAGAGAGATTTTGCACACTCCATTCTTGGAGGCTTACAAAACCAGGCAAAGACCTGAGCGACCTGGCCTCTCCTTGTAGCTCATCCTACTCTAACAAGATTGAAATAAGTGACCTTCTGAGGTCTGTCCCAACCTGAATTTTCCTAAGATTCTTCCCATTGAGTTCTGATTTCTGGGTTTCCCTCCCACTGACTTCTCTCCAAGGCAGAAACTGATGTTACTCAAATTATGCATAATCATACCCCAATCCACCATATAATTCCCTAAGGAATTAATTTCAAAATTTAAATTATCCATGTGGATACATCATGAGAAAAGTCTTGGAACTATTATTTAGAGGACATTATAACTGCTTACAACATAAAATACAAATATACTGTGTATTCCAGAAAAACCCAGTGGTTTGTTACCTTTGTTACCTTGGGTTTTTTACCTTCTTTCCTTGTCCAAATAAAAATGGAAAGTCAGTAGAATTATGATAGAGAACCAGGACATACAGAATGAGAACATGGATACAAGGACATGTGCTCATCAGACTAAGAACTTACAGAGGGAGCTAAAACAGAAGAATAGATAAGAAATAGGACACAATCTTCAAACTGCGAGAGAAAAAATATTAATACTTGCGGCTTTCGGGGGTCACTTGCGGCTGTCCCCCGTCCCTCCCCGGCCCCCCGGGACCCCTCCGGCTAGCTGTCCCCTCAGGGGACCGGGGTTTGCCGCGGTCCCGCTGCACTGGGCTTACCAGGCAGCTGCTGGGTTAGCACGGTCCGAGCGGCGGTGCGCCTCGGTCGCCGCAAGGAGTCGAGATAAAGAGACGAAGAGAGGTCAGTTGTATGCAGTCCAGAAAGATTGTATTGCCTGAACGGTTGCAGGGACAAAAGACCCTGGGCTACTGCCCAGATACAGTTTTATACAGCAAAATTAAGAGATAAGGTCTAAACAATAGAGACAGTGTTCAGCATGGGCCCATCAGAACCTCCCTATGGGTCAGGTTCAATGGGAACTGCTCAGGGGTGGGGAGAAGGGGGTTTACATAAAGATGCTGAAGCGAAACTTTCCCGAAACAATGGGGCATACATAAATGTATCTTTTCCTCATACCTAAATGTATCTTTTCCTCAGTTTCCAATTCCCAAGGCCTTTCTAAATCCCTTCCTCCACACTACCGCGGCAGCGCAATAGCAACAAATACTAACAAAGGCATGCCTAGAACACTTAAGGCAACAAACTGATCTCAGGAGAAAGAATTCTAAGAGCATTGCAGAACTACAAAAAATGTATTTAAAAACCCCAATTAACTAGTAGAATTGCAGTATCTCTTTGAGGAACCACCAGCACTCTGCCTTCAGGAGAGATTTCATTCTCTTCTCCATCCCCAGATTCAACTGCTGTCTAGAAGGGTTCAAAGACAAGGGATCCATGGAGAAGGAGAGCTTGCTGTTGCATAGCATTTGTCTGCCTCTTTATACCCCATCCAAATTTAATGACAGTACAAAACAGCTTTGTAAAAATAAGCATAATATCCCTTAAATTAACACTGTAAATACAACTGTTTAATTTGTGAAACTTGGAAATAACACAATTTTTCTTCAATGACAAAAATATTTTGATTCAGTTCTATTAGGAAAAGGTCACCTCTGAACACTTACTGTTTATCAGTGAGTTTATTTCACATCTAAGACTGTCAGAAAATCCAACTTCATATTTATTTTGCCCTGCTAATAGTAACAAGTATTTGGTATTTTAGAAAAATCAACATCCTTGTGGAAGATTTGTAAAGAGAATGACCTTGTTAACTAACTCCTAAGTTTATTATGCAGGAAGACAGATCAGTTAAAGGATATAACCAGGCTGACCGCAGGCTCAAGCTCCACACCATTTTCTCAATCAACTGGACTAAATTTGGGTAATGGAATGAACAAAAAGGTACAGACAGAACATTTTATCATCAGCATCCACCGGTGATTTTACACACTGGTAAAATACATAAAAATATGAAGGCAGAGTAGGTCCTCAAATTGCACTGTAATGAAAAACACGTACATTTTCTTCAGTGACACACTGCTCCAGACCAGTCCATGGCCATGCATATTCCCGTAAACACCTCTGGTGACCATAACTCTCTCACATAATAGTGACTTTTAGCAGGTCAGAGCAAGCAGCTCCCCAAGAATAAACACAAGATGTAAGGCTTTAATTTAGGAAACAGAGACAACCATAATAAACTGGAAAACTTTTATTTAAACAACAAGTTAAAATTTAAACCTATTTTACCAAGAAGACTTTCTGCAGGAACAGTCAAACAGCCAGTGAGAAAAACAGCAGAATTAAGGAACAAAAATTGTCGGAAGAGACAGCCTTCTCCAAACTTGCTTCCACTTTGTGTAACTGCAATACCAGCACCCAAAAAACTCCTCAGTAATATGCCAATCTCCACTGCAAACCCATTTTTGTTAATAACAGTAATTCCCCAACACTCTTAAGTGCATGTTAGATATCATGAATCTCTCTCACCTACCTGGTACACTTGCACAGAAGCACTAGTACTAGCCTACATCAAAAAGATAACAATTTCAGTATTAACACCTTGGAGGCAAAAGCCATGGTCTGTGGAACTATCATCAAGGACTTCTGACACTGGTGAGGTGCTGTCCTCTGAATTACTTATTTATCTCCTTTGGTTTCATGTATCACCACAAGAGCTATAGCACATGCACTCAGTGGGGACTGTGATGTAAAAATATAGGAAACTTGCTTTCCAGGTTATCCAAGGATGTTCTGGACCCAGAGATGTCTACATCTTCCCCTCCTTTGTCTGAGTCCCTGGGAGACCTTCACAGATAATATTTTAGAGTGAACAGTGCAGCTCTCTATGTCTGCATTAGAACTCTAAGGAACACAGATGCACAAAAGGTGCAGCATTAAGAGCGGGCACATTCTCAATTTCAGAGGCATAACCAGTATGGTTTACTGATCATTGTGACAGAATAAGGGTGATAAACTATCCTTGATGAATACACTGATATGAGAAAGCACAAGCAGTAGAATCCCCTTGGAATAAAGGTTACCTGACAGGCACCCCTGTGGAGAAGCAGCGTGGTACGGCACATCAGCCATCCCAGGATACACAGGGCAAGTCTCCCATATCTGACCCTCTCCCCTCCTATGTTGTATTATAGTTTTCTTTGAGGGTGGATAAAAGACAAAGTTCCAGCTGATGCCCTTTCATGATTACATGGAGATTGAGTGATTTTAGTTCACACATGTAAAGCAGGTAGAGGTTTTACTTCATTAGCATATGCAGGTATGAAAAGTTTTATGTATTTTCAAGCCATTAAACAAAATTCTCCCGGTGACTGGTTGGGCCCTTCCTTGGCTTAGTTCCCATTGGCTGCATTGCTTTAAACATGGCCACAACACTTCTATGCCGCTCCATCCTTTGTTTCCTCCCTCTCTCAGGGCAGCATACCAGGCTCCCTCAGTTTCCCTCAGCTCCTGGGGCTGCAGACTTCTTGTCTCCAGTGAACTACTGCCACCATAGACTTCCCTTTGCTCAGACTTGTCTTCTAATATTTCTCAATAAGGACTGAAATAAAATGGTAGCTTATGGCACCTGTACTCCACAGCTACAGAAAATATATGTGCAGACTGCACCACGACCAGATGGCATTTTGTGGGCAGTGACAACAGTAAAAAAGCATCTTCTGTTTGCAGTGCGGAGAGAATACACCTCCACAAGATGTGTACATCTTACCTTACACACATGTGTAAGTGTCTTACCTGGAGAGTTCTCTAATGCACGCTCTCTATTCAACATAAACATAATCCAAGAAAAAAGAGAACTAATTATCTTTTGACCAGAAAGCACTGAACAGCCTACAAGCATGCTAGGAGGCACCAAAATTTCACTCCACTTTATAAAAGAATAGTCTCCATCTGAAAGAGTCACATTTAGCAACACATTGGAGGTCTTTAAAAGCCTGTGGACACAACCTTGAGTAATGTGCTCCACAGGAATCTGCTTAAAGCAGGGAGGCTGGAGTTGATGACATCCAGTGATCCCTTCCAATCTCACTCATTCTGTGATTCTGTGATAACAAACAGCAAATCCAAATCCCTTCTCACAATTCCTGTTACATTATTTTCCTGTTGGCTTTCAAACCATGTTGTTAACATTGTTCTTATGCTCCAACTGCATGAGAAAGAGGGGGATAGATACAGCCAAACGCAAGAAGAAACTTTTTAGCCATCTCCTCAGTATTTATTTGTATTACTTCACATAATCTCAAGTGCCTTCTGGATGCTGAGATAAGTTTATTCACTATGCAATTGAAGAAGCTCTTCTGCAGGTATTTCCATGATAAAGCTATTCCCAACAATTCTGAAAAGTACCTAGTTGGTACTCAATAGGACTCATTAAGTTCTTCAGCTGACCAAGAAGATTAAGAATCTCACAGGGATTTTTTAACATCACTACACCTTCAGCTCCACCAGCAAGTCTGGGATTTCCCAAACAGTACAAAAAGTACTTGGCTTAAGCAGCAACTTACTTTACAAGGTTTCTCATAATGTTTATAAAAGATCCTCTGTACCCTGACCCAAAATTGTTCCAGTGGTTCATGCAGTGGAACAGCTGATAAAGCTTCAGGCGTTTCTCAAACCCTGCAGCTCTGGGGATTTTACTGTGATAAGCAGAATAAAAAGAACTGCTGAAGCCACCAAATATTCCAGTCATTGCAAGATCATACTCTGAATGGCCGTAGAAAGAATCTGGATCAAAGATAATGGGACCAGAATCATCCTCAACTACATTTCCTCCCCAGAGATCCCCATGCAGGAGAGAAGGAATGATTTCTACACCACAGAAAAAACTGGGTATCTTCAGCTGCAGGTGTGGAGTTGTGTTTTTTAGGTTTTATTACATTTGTATTATGTATAGGTTTGTTCCATGTACCCCCGGTTCTGTAACGGTTCTCCCCGGGTTTTCCTGTCTTTCCCCGCGGGTCCGTTGTCCCCAAAAATGCTAAGTCATTCATCCTGTTTACCCCAGATGCCTGTCTGTCACTCCCTGTCCCTTCCCCCCCACCTAGAATCTTCCACCCGGGACGCCGGGTGATAGGCAGAGGACCTGGGACCCTTCCCCTGTCTGTCCTTCATTGGATGTACCCCCGTATCCCACTACCCTCAAACCCCCCGTGGCTTTACCCCATTGGCTGCTCCGGTTTCCCCCCGTTCCGTATTTATGTCATTCACGCGGCGCGCTCCGCGCTTTCTCCTGGCTGGCTCCAGCACGTGCTGCCCCTCTCGCGCCGCTCCGGCAAACGCAGGCGCGGCACGCCTGGTTCCCTTCGAATTATTGTTTTCCCCGTTGGATTACAATAAATGGAATTCGCCCCCCAGAGAAAGACTCTCTTCATTAAATTGCCGTGGGGTCGCTGACTGCTCTCCGAACTCCGACAGCGCTGCCCAAAGCCCGGTGAGGGTTCAGCGGGAAGCGCTGGAAATCTGCCCGCGCCTCTTCTCCCCAGAGCTAGCCGGGGCAAGGGAAAGGCAGAGGGGAGAAGAGCGCATCGGCATGCAGGGGAGAAAAGCAAGACATGTAAATTACTACAATCATTCACCTTAAAATGTGAATGCATTATATGCATACTTTAAACTTTTAAAAAGTCAGTTAAATAAACCTGTTACTTCAAACAGGACCAAGTTAACAGAGATTCTGAGCAAATCCAGAGGATTCCTGTTTTTAATAAAAGCTAGCAGCAGAACAGTCAACCAAACTATTTTAGGAAGACAGTAAAGAATTTAAAACTGCATTTGGTGGTGTAATATTGACCAGATTTAATAACAACTACCACCACCATATTGGCATTAGGAGGCTCAGGCATTTTTCAGCAACCTTGAGGAAGTACCCAAAGAACCCAGACTGCAGTCACTTAACCAAATGCAAATAGAAAATCAACAATCTGCAGAACAGTACTGCTTATGTACGTTTCTCATCATAGAAGTGTTCCAGGGAGTGAGAAATATGATCTCCATCTGTAAGATTTCCCAAACAGTAAGGCAAAGTGCTGGCACTTTGGAATTCACTCTGGAATGTTAACACAGGGTGATGTGGCAAAAGCCATTACACCTTAGAATAAAGGGCATTTTGATCCCTAAAAACTGGAGTCTCCTACAGACGGAACCTGGTACACACCAACAAACAGGAACTTTGTTTTAAGAAAATAACATCTAGATAACTGATACCCAGCTGTCACTCTAATGAAAACTGAGAGAACTACTTGTACCTGAAGCTGTGCCCAAAGTTCCCTTGCTTTCCTGTTTCCTAAGCTCCTTTCGATCAGGTCCATCTGGGGCTGGATCCTTTGTCTGGCAAAGAAACTCACCCAGTCACTGCACCAGTTGTTCACCTGAAGGACCAGGACAGCAGATGTCAGTTGTTCACTACACAAAAGGCAGATTTGCTTCTTTTTCAAATGAACCTTTTGAGGATCACACAGCCTTTGTGCTGGTACCACCCAAGACAGTAAGTGCTACCACTGAATTGAATGTTATCTTAAAATGTTAAATTGGAGAAATAAATCATTTTCTCTCAGTGATTAAAACCCAAAAAATTGAAGAATCATCAGTGTCCAATGCAGCTATAAGTGCTGTCCAAAGCACTACTTTTCTTAGCAGGATAAACCATTCTTTTTCTTAATCATGGTGCCACAAAAATTCATTTATTTACATGATGATAAATTTTACCCTTTTTTGTCACTGAAGGAAAAATGGGGCAAACTTAAAATTCTATCCATCTGATGAAATACAACCTACCTGTGGAAGATAACCACAGCAGGTAACTGTATGAAAGCCAAACTGATCCACAAACTGGACTTCCATTTGCCCTTGTCCTTTACCTTTCAAACCAAAGACAAAAATTCAACACCAATAACAAAATACTGAGCATCCACAATGCAAACAAACCTTAAAAACTATGCAAGAGTACAATTGCTGCTTCCACTGAGAATAAAAAAAGTTGTACTTTAATGTTCTTTTTGTTACAATGGTTGCTGCTGCTGGTTTTTAAATTAAAAGCTCAGTGTAAAGCAAACATATTATACTCTTTATTTTTGTATTTTGAGGTACTGTATCTCTTCTGATACCATGTCCTTGTAGAGACTTCCAAATTGTTCAGGCTCCCAAATTGAATTGATCACAGAGATCCAAACAGGGCAAAGAAAAGCAAAAAGAAGAACTCCCTCCACCCGTGTGTTTCATCCCAACCTATTCTCATACTATCTTTAGTGGAAGAAGATAAACCTGTCCTGAAGTAGCAAATGCTATTTTAATTATTTTGTAAATTATCATTCATTCGGTTAAATTTGCTAACAGCTGTGTACTGTACCAACTGTGCTTCCTTTTTTTTTCATCTTCTCTCTAAGTTGCTGGTTATGAAGGTGAAGATCAGCCAGCTGAGCTCCAAGCAGTGCTGAATGTCTAAGAAAAAAATATATTGTTAGCAATTCTGATACATGAACGAATCTAGACCTTGATACTCCAGGAGTTACTTGAAAATGTCCATCAAGCAAGTAGCAGCTCTTCACCTCCAACAAAATAGCTTCCCAAAATATTCCAGTATTATAAACACTTTGTCTTCCTATCAAGACTGCATATTAATATAGACAAAATGTACTTTTATTTGGTTGTTTCTGACACCACTATTGAAAGTGAAATCATAAATTTACTAATAATATTAAACTCTCAATTCTAATTCCTGTACAATATCACTTCCCTAAGCATTTTCAGTAAGGTATGTGTAAGAAAGCATGCACATAATGTGGAACATATTATGCTTTTCTAAAATTTCCTCTGGCAAACTGTCTTTGGAAAATAGAACCAAACAAGGCTGATCCTCTTCTTTCTATACTGTCTCTGGCTGCTCTTCTCTAAAAGGCCCCAAAGATGGTGTCAAGAGGGCCTGGTTTCTTATCTATTTTTAATAAAAGTTGAGCCTCTACGAAGTTCAGAAAAGCCTTGTAGTAATTGCAAACAACCCTTACAGCCAGTTGTCCCCCGTGTTAACAAAATTATGTTCCTTTTCCTTTTCTTGACCTGTCTGAACTTTCTCTATTCTAAAGGCACTGTCAGTTAAAGCAAATTTAGTTCTTAATTTTGTTCCTGTTAACACAGATTGTCAAGAAAAGGATTGTATCCCCAGAATTTGCATCCCAAAGGTACCATTTGAAATCCAAACCAACAAGATCTCTGCCCTTCCTCTTGGGACTCACTGAGAGCTCTTCATTAATAAAACCATGACAATGAGCAGGATGAGGGACAAAACTTAAAACTGGCTATCAAAGTTATGAAAATGAGATAAGAAATGTCATGATCACCTTCTCAGTGGAATCTGATGGGATTCATCGTATGAAGTGCTAGTCACAGAGAAGGGTCAAAAGTCAGAAACTATCAAAATGAAGTTTAAGAGTTGCAAAAATATTGAAATCAAGAGTAATTCATTTGGGAAAGTGCCTCTGCATACTCATGGCAAACATTACAGCACATCAGTTCTTACATCAAAGGCAAGTACACAAAACAAGCGATCAGGTTGGTCATTTTCTTTACCATACAAAGGAACCTTACTGTAAAAAGTACTAATTATCTAAACAAATAGCCCAAAAGTAACTAAAACCCAGAGTCACTTCTTGATGTATTATCAGTTTGCTAGGTGAAGCATTATAAAGTATTTCATACAGTTCTCTGCTATATAACTTCTCATATGTCCCTTGACATGTGTTATAAAAAATTTAAACTAATCCTCCTATGAAAACAAGTGATTTAATTGCTAAAATAATAGCCAAAATTTCTTTGTCAAAGGAGACAAAAATAACTGTTTTACCTGTTTAAGCGCTTCATTTCCAAATGTTCCATCACCAGCACAGTATTATCCCCAGGCAGTTCTACTGCCTTGATGGGTTTAGGCACTCTTACTGTCTGTGTTTTCAGGATGGCTTCCAAACTTGCCATTTCTCCCAGAAACATTCTTCTGGCCTGTCAGATATTAAAGAAAAACATTAGTCTCTCTAAGCATCAGTTACAGGTAAAATAAAATAAAATATAAAATAAATAAAAAGTTTGGAGCAAATATTTCTTGGTGCACATGATACAGACAGAATTGTACCATCAGGCCTGATGATAATTTTACAGTGGGCACATCCATGCCCAAGTGCCCAGGGCTTACACAGGGGCTGTTGAACTCACTGCAGTCCTGCTGCAGCACCACGGACTGGGGAGCTCCCACCTGATAAAGTGTGGCTGCTCAGCTGGGCAGACACACCCAGGGGAATGCAGCTCTGCATGGGAGGGCTTTTCTTCCTTTGCCCCTGAAGGGTAGAGCTGACTGCATCCAGGCACCCAGAGCCGACATGATCTCAAGTAGGAAACACAAATGTCCCACCCACGCAAAAGAAAAGGGTGCACCTTTTTTGCCTCTACACTTCCAGGAATGCAGTACCTTTGCACACACAAATCAAGGAACAAAAATCACACTGATCCCAGTTACCTGAATGCTTGTTTTCTGGAAATCTTCTCTGGTTCACGATGACACACAAAAGGGTAATTTGATGCTGGAGATGACGTATGCTAGCCATACTACCAAAATCTTGTCAAAACCAAAAAAAAAAAAAAAAAAAACAAACAAACAAAAAAAAAAACAAACACACAAAAAAAAAAACCCCACATTTGAAAAGTTGAAATGATAAATGCAGTGAGACACTCAAAGATTTGGCTCAAATAATCTGTGCTTTCACATGATAAAGTAAGCAATGATTTACATTAAAATAAACAAAAAAGCCACATGAAATGAAAGTTTCTGCTATTTGGTAATCACAGTTTATTGTTACAGACACGTCATCTTTGTTATATTTATGTCACCCAGGGCAAAATCTTTCAATAAATATTTCATGTACCTTCTTTTCTTCTCTCTTTTCAAAAAATACTTGATAGTTGTGATGATGTGTCGGAATCTGTGAGTATTGATGATTCCGAGATCGTAGAAAGTCTCTGTCTTTCTGCCCCGTTGCCAAAGAAGAAGCCATAATTCGTCTGTGCTGTTTTCAAGGTTGTTTATTCTTGCTTATCTATAACATGTTCTGCTGCGCTGCCGCAGGTCTGTCCTGCAGGGCAGTGTGCGGGGCTCTGCCCCTCAGTGGGATGTTATAAACATTATATACCAGAAACTACATGTACTATATTTACAATAATGTGCCAATATCTATCATCTACGTTGAACAGCGTGTCCCCAGCCTAAACCAATAGAAAAATGCCAACACTACAGTGAAACATGGAGGGTATGAAGAAGGAGGAAAAGGACAAGACACTCCCAATTCCTCCATCTTGTCCCCTCTGAACCCCTAATCTAGAAACCTAAAATTTTACTTTTGCACCCGTGCCACACTTAATTATTACTCTTATCAAACACTCAAAGCTTGTAATTCATCCTGTAAGATTGAAAACTCCTCCATGGACAGAGATCAGAGACAGCGTCTCTCAGGGCTCTGTACAGGGGGATTCCTGACCCCTGCCAGGGTCCCAGACCTACCAGGGCAGCCAGAGGGAAGCCCTGGATTCCCACAATGATGTGTTTTTATAGGGTTTTACAGTGCCTTGCTATAAGAGTTAGGAGTTCAATGTTAGGTTGTTTCAGTTGGTGTGTTCCATTTACCCCCTATTTCTTCCTCTCACAATGGTTTTTCCCAGGTTGTTTACTCCTAAATTTTCCCACCACTTGACTGCCCCTCAAAGTGCCAATCTCCCTGTCCCTCCCCTTCATCCTTAAATAGTACTGTCAATCTAAGTTGTGCTGCCCACCTTTGCTCTCTATCAATGTAATCACCCCCATTTTGTTCTCGGAAGTTCAGTGCCAATCACCCGTATTCTAATAGTTGATTATTCCTCAAGGCTTCTCCCCACATTTATCTTTTCCCCATTGATTGTGACCCTTGATGGAATCTTCCTGTAATTTACCCTTCTTGTTCCATGTTGCCACCCGTTCACTCCCACACCCTTTATAAATTGCAGCCGGACTCTATTTTCTCTGACAGTTGTTCCTGGCTGGTTCGTGGAAGAACATATTTTTGGACTTTGCACAAGTGTCCTCTCCTTTGTCCCTTCACTTCGGATCCTTGTAGTACTTCAGTGCAAGTGCTACCCACACTGCCACCTGGGAACCTTGGTAGAGACCCAGGGGCGGCCCCTCTCGTAGCCCTCACCAGCCACACCAGGGAACTGCTAGCCAGCGTTTCAACACTCACTGTCCGCAGAGAAAGAACTACAACAGTAGCATGTAAATAGATACTAACATGTTTAAGTTATCATCTTTACCAAAACCTAGATATGCTTCATTTTTGTAAACAATTCATTTTCCCAATATTATTAAAGCCGAGGAACTACTAGATGGTCAAATGCTCTTATCTTCCACAGTGGAAGTAGCAATTTCATACGAAAAAACCTACATCTACAAGCAAATACTTTTAGTCATCATTGCAATGGGGGCTGAAGTTGCAGGGGTGAGTTTCTGCCTCTTTAACCCTCCAAAATAAGGTGATTTCTTCTTATTTTCTGTAAATTTCTAGTCCTTCTATCACTCCAGGCAAATAGTTTGCATTAACAAGAAAGAAGATGTTATATGTAGTAGATATAATTCATGCCATTTCTAATATGATATATGTGATATTGAATATTTGTTAGAGTATACACGTTTGTATTAGGATTCCCCCTAACCCTCGCAGGCGAGACCAGGTGTATATTGGAAACTGATTTACAAGTAAGAAGGTACAGCTCGCCAGGAGATGGGCCATGTCTGGGGAGATACGGAACCCCAGGTGCTGATGTTCTCCTGAACGACCCGAGATGGATATCATGGAAATCCTCAGGTAGATACATGTGAATATAGCCTTCAAGTAAATTTCATCAAGGGATTCAACAAACTCCAGACACTGAATTGTTTTCCCTTATCACCAAAAAAGAAAATCTTATTAACATATGGATCTGAATAGAAGAAAAGACTGACTGCTGAAATCTTGGCCTCAGGCAGAATTTTCCCTATAAAAACCACTTGTGCCAGGATGGAGGTGTGTGGGCATGGAGGAAAACCTCTGCTGAGGCTGACTCCTTGTTGCACACCCAGGGCTAATCCCAAGCTCGGCTCTGTTCTTTCCTTGTGACTGGCTAGATAGAATTTGATTGCAAAATAAATATTTTATTTTTCATATTAATTTGGCTGGACAAGTTTTCATTTATAACAGAGATGATACCAAATGAGTCACACCAGTAAATCAAGTAGGGCATGCAAAGCAGAGAGGGAGGAATGAGAGCACAAGAAGGCGGGACACAAGAAGAGAGTACAATCTACTTTTTCTCTGCAACAGGCCTAAGCACCATAGAAATCAAAATTAACACAAATCCTGCTGGGGTAATTCTTGCAAAAGACAACAACTTCCTTTGGCATTCAGATGCCTAGAATGTTTAGCTTTGGAATATCAACTCATTTACAAATGTGACTACAGGAGGGATTCACCATTCTAACAATTAATCTGTATAACCTTTCCTGAGGATCCATCTTTGTGACATCCCACACATTTTATAAGAGAAAAGGCATTTTTGAATCGCTTCAGTGAAAAAAAATCTTAAATGTACTCTGAATAGAATTATGATCTAAAGGAGCAAGTATTTCCAGAAAGCCTGAGATATTTCCTGTGATGAGATCCCTTCTAAGAGGTTCACTTAAGGTACCAAATTCTCCATGCAAATACTGGCAGATAAGTCAGAGAAGAAAAGCAATCTTTTTAAATGGTCCTTTGGGAAGACCTTGCAGGGAATTTAGTACTTGCTGGTCTATTGCCTATATTCCAAGAAAGAGTACTAAATACTGAAACGACCTATGGAAGATGAAGTCTTTGTGAATGTGAAAGTCCAGTGCATGGCAATCTCAGAAAGGAATCCATCAAAGCCCTTGAAATCCCAACACAGAAGTTGTGAGTTGGCAGTGTATGCCAGTTCTTAGCAAACCACAGCAAAATGCTGATAACAAAAAGAGGCCATTAGGTCACATACAGTATGAAGCAGCATTAAAGAGGAAAGCAGCTGAGACCATCAAACCTGTCAATAAAAAATAATAAAAACCAATAGTGTCAGTATTCTTATTGACATTCACAGAAATTTGCAATGAATCTATGAAGATTACAAACCAGGCAAAAGAAAAGGGAGCAAAGACTACTCTGGCATAGCGTTTTCTAACAGAATCTTCAAAATGTAAAGACTGTGTTATTCTTTAAACTGAAGGAAGTTATTAAAATGGCAGAATTGAAATGGCATCAAATGCTAGACCTTGGCAGCGGACTTATAGATGGAAATGCCGCTGATGGAAAACCAACAAACTGGAATCAATGGAGCAGCATTGTACTAAACCCCAGAAATGTCCACTGCTTCACTGTCTGCCATTCTGTTAATATGGACATAGCAGCTCTGCAACATTCCTACTGATCATCTCCTTGGCAAACTGTGAGCGAGGGTCTGTAGTGATGCAGAGTTCCCAGGCAGGTGCAAAGGAGAGCCGCTTTATTGCCAAACCAGGCTTTTTAAGCAGTGAGGCCTTTCTCAGTTACATAGCTTTAAATCATCGCAAACATAATTCAACCAACCACCATACACCATGATGTGAACACACAATGGTTATAGAACTTGTTTTTCTACCTCTAATTCAGCTGCATCACTTTCCCACAGCCCTTTTCTACACAGCCAAAGTTACAGGCCATGGTTTTACAAGGCCTTCCTTTTGTAAGGTTTTACCTATATACAACAACAAACCAGTAGTTTCTTCAGTGCCAAGTGTCTAAGTAGATTACTTACAGATGCAAATCTACGCCCATCAAGTGAAATGTATTGTGGAGAGAAAATCCTGTCTCAGATGTTCAGTCATTCCGTTTTCTAGACAGACCAAATAAAAAGAAAAGCAAGCTATAGGAGTGTGCACTTGCTACTGCAAAACACCTGCTGCCATCTGAAAATGAACAAGCAGAAAATCAGCAAAAATGAGACCTGAGCAAACACCCCT